CGCGCCCCCTTTTCCTAGAAATGGATGAAATGGTTTTCACACCTTTTTGGTGGGAAAACTATTTTCAAGGTTCTGATTTCTTTTTCTTTTTTGTGTATATTTGTACTGAAGAAAATTCATGGGGCTTCATCTGCAAATTTGTCTTATTTTTTATTATTTTATTTATTTAAACCGAACAACAAATTCATCATTTAATGGTTATAATTGAAAGGTTGTGATATATTTTATGCTAAAAGAAAAGGTTGAGAGTGGATTAATTTCTGTATCTTCAAAGAATTTGAATCCAAAAGTGTCTTCGCCGACATCTTCTTTGATTCATGCAGCTACTTGTAATGTCGATGTCCAGGTAGAAGGAAAATTAAAAATTGGAAATATTTCTGGTGTCAACTCTCAAGAATGAATAAAACATAATCTTGAAAGAAAAATGTTACTAAAAATAGATCCAAACATAAACACAATTAAGAGGAACAATCGAAAGGTCACAAAATGAGTAAGAAAACTAAGGCAATAAAGCAGAAAATCGCAGAGGAACTGTTTTGCATGAAGGGTAAAATAATAAGAAAGTTCAATCGTATTCCAAAAATTTATTGGTGTTACATCAGATACCTAAGTTGGGAAGCAATGCGGTAACAAATGAATTTGCCAAGTATCAGTAGTCATACACGCTGCTTGTCCTGTGATCCAGTGACAAGACTTCCATAAGGTGTATCATTAAATTACTATGTCTCGATCGTCTTCTACTTGAGGGCGTGTCTGTGCGGGAGCTATATCGCTACAAAATTGAAGAGTTGATCACAATCAAATAAAATATAACCTGGCTCAACTTGTTGCCACCTTTTTCCTCACAATTCTCTTTCTCCGAGCCTTGGGGGGAGGGGCTTCACCATCCATTGTAGAGTCACTTTGTCCTTGTTTAAGTCCAAGAAGACCGAGCCCTGAAACAATAGTGTTCTTGGATATGAACCACTTTGAAGAAGACTGATTGACTCCATCAGCTGGTCTACTGTAAGCCTTCTTCAAGAGATCGTCCGAATGAGCCAACGGATCAAGCTCCACCCCGAGCCAAGCCAACCTTGATGTCTCTCCTAGTTGAACATTCAGTGCCCTGCATGCATTTGACACAAAATTTCTACTATGAGCTGCAACCGACATTTATGTGCAAAATGCAATAGGAAAGACGAGTAGATTCTAAAATTACTGGTTTGGTATCAATGACTCCAAATTTCTCTAGCCGAGGAACAAAGGGGCATGGGAAATTATCAAAAGCATAGCAAATATATTTGATCTTCACCATTTAAATAAAGCATGCTATGAGAAAAGAACAGGTAAACCAACTAAATGAAATCACTGGTGAACAGTTTAAATGACAAAATGCTTCATCGTGGAACGTGAAAAATCCCAAATGCAGCTTACACAGATCAAATACCAAGAAAACATACCTCAGGGCTGTGCTAAAGAAAAGAGTTACTCCAATAACATCAAAGTAGCTGATAACTGCTCTGTCAAAACCACACAGCATTTGATATCGTAAATTTGCGTATAAGCCAAGGAAAGCTCCATAACCAAGCGCATTGGTGCTCACAGACGGAATGGTCACAGATATCCTACAAAACCAACAGTTTCCAGATTACATAGTAAAATGTGTTGGCAAGAATATTACATGTATTGTTTACCAAACAAATTTTACCTTCCCTCCTTTTTATGGGCAACGAGGTTCGACACAGCACCCTGTGCAGCTCCGGCAATGAATCCCACCATACACAACTCTGCAGCTTTGTAGAAAAAAGAATGAAGTCTCTTCTGGAAGTCAAATTCTCTAAGTGGATAGCTCTTCTCAAATATATTATTTGGGAGTTTTTGCAGGGTGTTCTGCAGATCAAAACGGAATGTATTTCCGTATGAACGAGAAGGAGCAAGGGACCAAACAACCATGGCATTGCAAGCTGTCACTGTAAGCACGTTGATAAGCGCAAGATCCCATTCCTGCTTTATCCTGCTTTGAAGTGACGTGTTTATCAAGCGGATAAGGCAAATAAACAGTTTTGATTTAGCCCCTATTTGATGGCCATTATTTTGAGAAAATGATGTTTTGAATAGTAAATTTTTGGAGAATTTGTGATTAAAATGTAGGGTCAATCCCTGAGTTTATGTGCAAAATATTTTATTGTGTGCATGTGAGGTTGAAAATGAATATGAAAATTAAAGAGTTTTGTTTTAAAGGGAGACAAACAGGGGCTTAATTTCTTCCTAATAGAAACCATAAAGTGAAACCTCTCTTTGCGATTCTGGATCTCCCACCAAACGGAGCAACCAATAGTAGTTGCCTGCTCAAGAAGCAGCCTGTATAAAAAGGCAGGATCTGCAATCATCCTGTGCAGGCAAGGAAGATTCAAATAAATTTTTGATAATGTTTCGGAAAGACGATTGTGCTTCAAACATTCTAGTTCTAAACTGCTATATAATCTGTAGAAAGCAAACCAGAAAAAATGTTGCTGCATTACAACAATGCTATACAGCATACAGGCTTAAACGAGTTGAAAAACCGCATGGCATGTCCTTTAACATAACTAGCCACAACAAACTACGATGAAGTATCAGAATTTTGGATCAACATCAGGTCCATTATGGAAACAAGTGACTGCAAACCCACTAGTGAGTAGACTAAATCCAATTTGTGATCATTACCTTCTTTTCGGTGATTCCATGTCCAAAACCAAGAGGAAATTGTAAATAATAAACTTTTTAAAGCTACAAGAAGTAGAGTCATCGCTACTGATAACAGGAGAAATAACCAAACGTTCTATCAAGTGAATCTAATCGGCTTCTTCATCCAGTGGAATTTTTATGGACCGGACATGTTATCATATAAGCCAAAGTTTCTATCGTCGCCCCAAGATTTCCTTCCTCCATACCATTTTGGAAAATGAATATAGAACCGCTACCCCAATGAAAAACACAATCTAAGTAAACTGTTTCTATAACAATTTAGTCATGCAAATGATTATGCCTCTATTTGACAAAATTATAAATCATTTATAAATTGTCAAATTTCATTTTCAGTCGCACAATCCAATAGACCCACAAGTATTGTCCACTTATCCACCACTCATTTCTATCTTTTTAGAAATTAAACCGTTTATAAAATTCTTCTCAAGCAAGGCTATATTTCAAAGTCATTCTCCTATGCTCAGGACATATGCACCAGCTGGGGTAAAATAGTGAAACTCATACAAGCTGGATCTCCATCTTAAGCATTCTAATTTCAGAAACATATTTACATCTTAACATAAAAATAATTATTGTTCTCTGAACGTGCAACATGTAATTGTCATTTGTCCATTCATACAAAAGATGAAGTATGTCGTATGTATATTTATTCTATACAAGTCCCATCACAAACTTCAGCCTCCATACACTAATCTATTAGTACCTACAGTAAAACCTCGATAAATAAATGTAGAATAAATTAATAATTTCGCTTAAATAATAAAATTCTTCGGTCCCTACTTGGGTGAGTGTACTAAATTAATAACCTCGTTAAATGCATAAGATAATAATTTTTTTGACATCCTTTAAGGCCCAACAAATGTATAAAATTATAACCGCTTAAATTCATAAAAAATCATTCTAATACAAATTAATAAATTTTTAATTTGACAATATATTTTCAATTCGTCTCTTTTTCAAAATATGCATCTAAAATCTTTTGCTTTTTCTTTGAACCCAAACCAAACTCAACTTCATCTCTAATTTTTTGCAATGCACATTCTACATATTTTTTTCATTTTGTACAAAGTAATTATTTAAGGTTTCAACTACTTGAAATGCCACTTTTGAAAAAACTGTTGGTAAAATACAATTATCATCCAAATGACTAGATCATGATCATCATTGATAGGTGTATTGAATACCCCTTGAATATAAAATACTCTATAAATTAATAAACCCTCTAAAATAATAATTTTTCGGTCTCAACATTATTATTTTACAGAAATGTTGATGCATATGCATCATCCACAATCAACCTTAATGGAATTTTAGACTTTGGTTAAGGAACATTTTTCAAACACTAACTCATCTAAACTGAGGGAGAGGAAGGAAGGCAACAGGATTTAAATCCTCAACGTCTACAAGTCAGTATATGAAGGCTCTAAATTTACCTGCCAATGAAAGCCCTAGATATTCCTTGGGGAAGAGCCCGGGAAATGAACCTCTCAGTGGTAGGTCTGGCATTGATTGCCAGAAATCTCACCATTTGAGCAGAGCTGACCAAACCCTGAGGCAATTGCATAACATAGTCCAAATCATCAAGTACTTCCACTGAAGAATGTACAGGAAAAGGAAAAACATTACCATTTCATAAGCTTGACGTAATCCAGCAGGCAAATCCATCATCGTCTTTTGCCACTCATTCAACACAGCATCAATAAATTTCCTATCAAACAACTGGCAAAGAACATAAAGCGTTACTAATTTTAAAATATGTTAGATACAATAATTGGAATAAATTACACAATATATAGGCATGCAATGTAAGTGTGTGGATATCTCTTGGCTCTTGCATCAATTTGTTACCTCTGGCAGAACAATACGCCGTCTAAACAGTCCACCTTCATCTCCCTCATCGCCCTCATCAAAGTCATCAAAGTAATCATCATCATCGCCGCCATCATCACCCCCATCACCACCGCCATGACTAAGCCCCTTGCCCATATTTCCGCCTCCTCCCCCGGTAGAAAGCTGTCATATTGCCACATCGTAATAAAAATAACTAATCAAAAGAGTTATCAAATTAAAGTCCCCTATCCTAAAGGAAAAGTAATAAATTTCAAATGAGTTGAGCGGAGAAACGTGGGAATATGCTTAGTTATCATACAAGTCCGATCAAATCTCCAGACCTTCTATAGAAACTCCATTTATTGTACAGTATTATCATGGATTTCTCAGACTAGTAAACATGTGCATACCACCAGGCACCAGAGGCTACTTCATGCAGCCATTTTGAAGCAAATGAAAGAAATTTGGAAATTTCTCATGATTATATTTGGTACTCAAATTATTATTTCTAACTCTAAGACTTGAAATCTGAGATATTTCCAGTTTAGAATGTCATAATCCGAAAGGATATGGGTGCATCAATAGTTAATACTCAATATAAAACATAGCATCCTCGAGGCAACAATCGACACTCTAGCGCTCCATGAATTTTAAGTGCATTATCATTTTGCTACCCTGAGGAAATAGAGATGTTGAGTTGTATTGGGAAAGATAAAAGGACAAGGGAAAAAACTTTCATGTTAAGATGATAAGATCTTCAGTAGAGCACAGCTTCAAATTTCAGTGACTATCTCAGACAAAACCTCGGAGTTAGAATTTGGTTTTTACCAGGGATTAGTGGATTAAAAGACTATCATAAGCTCGAAACATGAAAAGTACAGAAGAAACAAAGAAAATTACAAATTTTCCTACTTCAAACAAAGGCCTCAATCCCTGGCCTCAAACGCCGAACCTACCACCTTATTTTCCGTGAAGCAAAACTCACATCCAAACAAAAGGGAACAAAATAAATACAGAAAAATTCCAAAGTTCCAAACAATATCAATTATAAAGGACACACCACATTATCTCGCTAGAAACGATTAAGGTGGAAACAATAGAGTCAAAGGGAAGATGCACTTCCAGGGAAGAAGTTTTAGAACTCATTTGTATGTTAAGCAAATAAAATTGTAAAGTAGTTTCTTTGTGTTAAATCTAAAACAGCATCAAATACCTTCAGACAAAGTGACAAACCAAAACAAAACGTAAAATCTGCCTTCTGATATTTTCCTTATCCAGATTATGCAGGTAAAATGGCGCGCATTACTACTCAATTTAACAGTACACTTCACGTTTTAAACTAAAGTTGTAGCCGAGCTAGCAAAAAAAAAAAACTCGGCCTTTATCCATTTCTTCAATAGAAAAATAATTCTTGTACTACGTATGAATCCAGAGATTTCTTACATGCACATTTCAATTGCTTCAAAACAAAGTGAAAACGTACTCATCGCTTTTTAACCACCACAATTATCAATCTATGCACATAAAATACCTCAGGACTAGACTTGGTTTGCTTTTGCGTCAAATCAAGCTTCGATTTTTCTAAAGTTACCGCACCTAACGCACCGTACTGTCCGCCCTTCATAACCGGCCCGAAGTCCACTGAACCCCAAGGCGAGGCCGATGGAACATCTGCGTCAGGTGAAGCCTGAAAGCACCGCTCAAGGGCAGCAATAGCGTCACCATCAACCACCGCTGAGGAGGCCTTTATGGTGACAGAAGACTTGCGGAGCTTACCAGCGATAGACGAGGCCACCGGAGACCATTGAAGGCCTGCTGGTAACCGGGGTTTGGATGATAAGGTTTTGGTGATAGGGGCCACGGGCATTATTTGCGCTGTTTGGAACACTGCGTGAGACATTTTAGGTCCCGAAGTTTTCTGTATTTTTTGAATTAAAACTCAGTGTTTAGAATTTCATAGAGAAATCGATAGGGTGAAGTGGAAATCTTTCCTCTTTTTGGGGGTTCTTTTCCTTTCTCTTCTCAGACTGAAAGGTAAGAGAGAGAAGGAAATTATGGGCGAGGATGGGGTTAAGGTTTTGATGGGGACTGCGGAGGTAGGTTGGGCCTTGGTCGTGTTCAACAAACCCAATCCGTTTTCAGGTGAGTCGACTGGGTTTTTAAGCAGGGAACGACTCGGAATCCGGGTTGGGTTAGAGTGGTCCCTTAACAAATTGCTATGCGTTGCCAACTAATTGTTTTACATAGTTGCTTCTTAGGCTCCGTTCGTGAGGGATTAAAAGTCAATTAAAATTGAAAATATGACTGTTATTGGATCTCACTCGTCTAATAAAAATCAAAATAACGACTATATTTTCAATTTTAATCCGATTTTAATCTCTCTCATACACAGGCCCTGTTCGGGAGGGATTAAAAGCCTATTAAAATTGAAAATATGACCGTTATTGGGTCCCACTCGTCTAATAAAAGTCAACAATAACGGCTATATTTTCAATTTTAATCCGATTTTAATCCCTCCCATACAAGGCCACAAGGCCTTAATAAGTGTATTTTATTCACTTATTTAGATTATTAAATTAGAGTATTTATTATTTATTTGAATGAGTTGTAATTTAATTTTGTATTAAGAGCATGTCTGTCAGAGATTTTCATCTCAATTTCCATTGATTTTTCATCCGTTATTTGGCAAAGCAGCCTACCATTTTTTACTCTTCCTCTCTAAGGTGGCCCCCACTTATTGACTTTAACGGTCACATTGTTGATCAAAATTGGATGAAATTTTTGGCAAACAGGCTCTAATTATGTTTGTTAAGTTGAACTCAATGCAAATTGGTGAATTTGGAAGAAATAAACGAAAAAAGTGTGAAAACGAAGGACATCCAAAATTTGAGGACCAAAGTGTAAACATTCAATATTTGATTCGAACCACAAAAGGATGATTAAAGATCATATAGGATCAATTGGATGCAATTGGATGTCAAATAAGTGAAATATAGCGGAAGTATTTTCACAAATCAATTTCAAACCGAAAAAATTATGCTCCAGATTTTTAGTTTCGATTTGAGATCCATTTTTTAGATGGTAAAAGTTAGAATTGGAAAATTTGTATTTCTAGAAGAATTGTATCAATTTGAAATATCTTTTCGAGGTATTTTGAATCTCGTCAATCGGATATTTATAGAGAAAGTTATGGCCAGGATACTGATAGTTGTTGACGGAAGAACATAAGCGAACCTGCATGCGAGGCACATTATTTTCCCCAACCCGAGAGCCACTTGGCTCTACTGTACGCGCATGCTATTTTTGGGCCTGAACAGCCCAACTTTCTAGTTTGATCTAAATTCTTATGAAAATCAAATTCAACCTACTATTTAACCTACAAGGGACAGCCAGAACAGAATAACATCTCAAATCCTATTTTTCACCACAAGAAATGGGATAGCACGGGATTCAAAGGCAATTAACACAAGATATTGAAGATTTAAAGTTAGATTAACGAATAAATTGATTTTTCACTTTTCATTCATTGTTTTTAATTTCGGGTGATTTTTTCCGAATCTTTTTTGTGTAATTTACATAACAATATGTTAGGCTAATTCGTTTCATGTATTTGATGGAGATGAAACATATTTGTTATTTGTTTTAATTCAAAACTAGTAGTTTAATTTATTAATTATTTGCATACCTATTACATTATTTAATTGATGGCCACCTTTAGATAATTAATTGCTTGTTGTAGTGTTGGGAGACTCACAATAAATTTAGAACACCGCAAAATTAACATATGTGCAATAGATGTTAAGAATAATATTTATGACATATGCAATCATATAGATAATATAAACTTTAATGCATTCTAATCATTCGAATTCGGGTCGTAGTTAGGATGAAAATTATATATTATAGTTTTTATCGATTGTTGAGAACGTATAAATTAAACTATATCACAGATCAAAAATTGAAATAAATAGTAATAGGCGGATTCGAGATCCAATACAATCATTCATAAATTGATTAAAAAAAATCACATGTTTACTTCTTTCTTAGATTAGTTTAACATAAAACAATATTTTATTTACATAATTCGAATCACATAAAAAGTTAGTAAACTTGAATTGAATTTATTCCATATGAGACGATACTCTCAACTCATCAATTCTATTACTTGTCAACGATCTCATACATTTGCGGATTTCGCACGAACACCTCTATGTACAAATCAATACACAGTGTATCGCACAAAATTACGACACTAAGAGACAAAAAAATATATCAAATACTAACATTACCCAATCACTGCAACGCCGTCTCACGGTGGTAACGTGGTGGTAGATCAACAATACTATAAAAGGAGAAAGTAGCGCTGCAATTACACGACCAATATCTTTAAAAGAAAGATACGGTGGAAGATTTCAATATGGTGGTGATCGGCTAGGTAGAGTCACAGTTGTGGTACTGCGGCATAAACAAAAGATGGTGAAAATATTATCTTGGTAGCTATAAGATCGCCACTGCAGTGGTGGTGTGAATACAAATGTGGCAGTAGTATGGATTTCAGGGTTGGTGACATAAATTTAATTTAAGCTACAATGATAAATAAAAATATTACTTTAGGAATAAAAGTCAAGATACAATAAAATGAGATTTTCAAATTTAATATGAGTAACAGCGTAATTTTCACATAATTTTGTTTGAGGATCTCAAATAAGTAGTTTTCGGTTTGGAACACGAAGTCTCGTATAAGCTACACTCACAACCCTTTATGTGCAGGAGCATTATGGTCACTCTCTTAATGAAAGTACAACGTGCCGATTTTTATTATGTGATAAGAAATAAATTTTGTAATGGTGAATTTTTGAGGAATTTTAGGTTCGAAAGCTGGGAAAATGAAGAAAATTGGGCTCAAACAGGAGCTATACATAGATTTAACATCAAACCTTACCATAATAACATTGGCATTCGTGATAGACTATACACGCCCATCCAATGTACTTCGAGCATTATTCCTTGTGCATGTTAATAGAATTGAAATTCACGAGTTGAATCCTCTTTTACCACATGGCAATCATTTATGGGTTATAGTCCGTGATTTAGGTTATTCTCCTCTTGATAGTGAAGTTTATTTTCATCGCTAGTAATTGTTTTCTTGACGTCTCCTTCGTGAATATTCCAAGAGAAAAATAAAACAAAGGCTGCAAGTAATGGAAGAGAGAGAAATATAATGAGAAATTAATCTAAAAACCGAAGCCGAATCACAAGGTCTTAACAATAGTCCCGAGCAAGATAGCTATCAATCCCCCAACACAGGGGCAGACCCATTAAGGGCCCAAATTTAACTAATTACTAAATACCTGACTTTTGTAACCACGAAACTTAATGCCTGATTATTGATTTCTTCATAGTTAATGTCTGAATCATAAATTTTTCCCTTTTTAAGCAGGGAACGACTCGGAATCCGGGTCGGGTTAGAGTGGTCCCTTAACAAATTGCTATGCCGTTGCCAACTAATTGTTTTACATAGTCGATTCTTAATAAATGTATTTTGTTCACTTATTTAGATTATTAAATTAGAGTATTTATTATTTATTTGAATGAGTTGTAATTTAATTTTGTATTAAGAGCATGTCTGTCAGAGATTTTCATCTCAATTTCCATTGATTTTTCGTCCGTTATTTGGCAAAGCAGCCGACCATTTTTTACTCTTCCTCTCTAAGGTGGCCCCCACTTATTGACTTTAACGGTCACATTGTTGATCAAAATTGGATGAAAATCTTTGGCAGACAGGCTCTAATTATGTTTGTTAAGTTGAACTCAATGCAAATTGGTGAATTTGGAAGAAATAAACGAAAAAAGTGCGAAAACAAAGGACATCCAAAATTTGAGGACCAAAGTATAAACATTCAATATTTGATTCGAACCGCAAAAGGATGATTAAAGATCATATAGGATCAATTGGATGCAATTGGATGTCAAATAAGTGAAATATAGCGGAAGTATTTTCACAAATCAATTTCAAACCGAAAAAATTATGCTCCAGATTTTTAGTTTCGATTTGAGATCCATTTTTTAGATGGTAAAAGTTAGAATTGGAAAATTTGTATTTCTAGAAGAATTGTATCAATTTGAAATATCTTTTCGAGGTATTTTGAATCTCCTCAATCGGATATTTATAGAGAAAGTTATGGTCAGGATACTGAGAGTTGTTGACGGAAGAACATAAGCGAACCTGCATGTGAGGCACATTATTTTCCCCAACCCGAGAGCCACTTGGCTCTACGGTACGCGCATGCTATTTTTGGGCCTGAACAGTCCAACTTTCTAGTTTGATCTAAATTCTTATGAAAATCAAATTCAACCTACTATTTAACCTACAAGGGACGGCCAGAACAGAATAACATATCAAATCCTATTTTTCACCACAAGAAATGGGATAGCACGGGATTCAAAGGCAATTAACACAAGATATTGAAGATTTAAAGTTAGATTAACGAATAAATTGATTTTTCACTTTTCATTCATTGTTTTTAATTTCGGGTGATTTTTTCCGAATCTTTTTTGTGTAATTTACATAACAATATGTTAGACTAATTCGTTTCATGTATTTGATGGAGATGAAACATATTTGTTATTTGTTTTAATTCAAAACTAGTAGTTTAATTTATTTATTGCATTTTGCATACATATTACATTATTTAATTGATGGCCACCATTAAATAATTTATTGCTTGTTGTAGTGTTGGGAGACTCACAATAAATTTAGAACACGCAAAATTAACATATGTGCAATAGATGTTAGGAATAATATTTATGACAAATGCAATCATATAGATAATATAAACTTTAATGCATTCTAATCATTCGAATTCGGGTCGTAGTTAGGATGAAAATTATATATTATAG